CGTCATACTCTGATAAATAAAGTAAAATTTACTGAAAGAAAGTCATATGGAAATAATGAAATGTTATTATTTTAAAGATAGTTTAAAATCTATAATAATTGTAAAAAGATTGAATTTTTTTATAACTCAAAGTTTCAATATGTATATGTATATATATTTTAAATATAATTTTATAATGATGCAAAATAGAGCAAAAGTTTAGTGTTCTTGTTATGAAAAAAAAAAAAATTCCTATAAGATTGTATATGTAAAAATGCTCGAACTTTGAGAATTGAAAAAATTACTCTATATTTAACCTATTATATTCTATGTACAAACTTTCATTGAAATCAATGTAAAAGTGATAAAAAAATAACGTTCAAATATTTTCGTCGATAACTCAAAACGCACAATATTGTCTCTATAAAAGACACGGTACAAGCAAAATTTCATCTAAATTCAAGAGAAGCTTGGAAGTTGATTAAAATAACACCATGAATGATCAACATCCTGATGGTGTATTCCAGGTAAATTTCTCAAAGCGAACTTCATGCGTCGATAAATAATACTGTTGATTACAGGAAAGGATAGGAGGTGGCAGAAACTTGGAAGGAAATGGAGAATTCGATATGCACAAATCCACCTTTGAATTTACAGGGATCGGATAATTCTCTTTACCTCCAAGTTCTTCATCCATTAATAGAAACGCCAAGAATTCCTTGATGAACAGAGAGAAAAATTCTTTTCAATTTTCAAGTTGTTTGTTTCTTTTTCCATCACTTTGACTAATGAATTATGGATTGAAAAAAAATATTTCAAAATTATTCCTGAATCTTTATAATAATGGACTAATAATAATTCCATTAATGATAATAATTAATACTAAGTCATATGAATTATTTTTTATTGGAACAAATCATTATAATTTGAAATATAAATTTTCTTTTTTTTATTTCTCAATTTGCCATGAATTATGACAATCATTTTGAATTTGATTTTTGTTATTGTTTTTAATAATTCTATAAATGTAACAATATTAAAATTGTTTTAAAATGGAATTTGAATGAATTATATAATTTTTATATAAACTTCTAAAAAAATTGCATACTATACTATACACAAATTTTCATTAAAATTAAATTTTTCACTGTAAACGAATTTTCTTTTCGAAGATACGAAAACTTTTGTAGCTTAATCTATATAAAATTTGGATTAACATTGGAAAAATATTGAAAAAGTAATATATATAAGAATATAATAATATAAAACATACAGCAAAATTTAAAAAATATAAATTAAGAAGTAATTACAAAGTATGCAGAAATATATTGAATTATATCTGTCTTCAGAATATTTTATTTAGATAATAAATAATTTATAATAAATAAAGAAATGAATTCGAAATGTACATAGACATAATATGTGTCGAAAATATGAATGATTCATTGAATCATATACGATATGAAATAATAATATAATTGTAACAGATAACCTGATAATATTAATGATATAATTATCATATGAATTAAGAGATATCTCGTACAAATTGTAACTTTATTACAAGCAATTAGTATGATATTTATTATGATTAATTTTATCGCATATATACATGACCCTTTTACAGTCTAAAGTCATCATTATCAAACTTATCACAAAGAGGATTCTTAATGAATCTTTTATCATTTTTTTTTCCTCTTCTCTAGAAAATATTTTACATTTATAGAGAATGTAGATTTTATTTCCTATCCCGATTTTCCAGCATTTCTTTTCCATTTCAATCTTACTCCTTACCCCGTTTTTCGTGCCGTATATGCATTTATCCATGGAAAGGGATATTCCTGTATTTCAACAATTGTCATTCGTGACGGGAATCGGGGAAAAAGGTAAATGTATCTTATTTCCGGTCTCCGTTTTAATCTCACCGTGCGAATAACTTTCCAAATGGAATAATGAAAGTTGCGGTTTCCCCTAGACTGAAAGCAGGGACTTTCCCCATTCGCAATTTTGCGTCTTGCGCATGCGCGTACACACGCACGTGAATAGCGCGTGTACTCACTTTGACGATTCTAAATGTTTTAAATTAATACGGATAAATCAAGTTTTATTTTTAATCAAACTGTTGCACTCTTGATGCAAACTGCATTTCATATTTGTTGATAATTTATTGAAATGCATTTCTTAATGAAATTGGATTTAAAAATTTGTTTTTCCTTTTTCTTCTCTTTTTGCTTGAAAAATATTTGTAAATAATTAATGAAAAATATGAAATAGACTGATTCTACAAAAAATGGAGTTGCAATAAGAAATAAAAATTATTTATATATTTATATTATATTATTATATATATATAGATACATATATTTTAATATATTTTAATTTGTATTTTATCGTTTATATCAGTTTCATGCATATGTATCTATAATATATTATTAATATAAGTTCAAGTTTTACATATGTATATTTTCTATGTATAAATTATCCTAGAATTTTTTCTTTTGTCATTCTCAATTTGAATTCCACATTTAAATATTAAAGTATGAAATACTCAAGATTTTATTATTTTATTATTTTTCGCAAATAGATAGTGCAAGATTAATACTGTCCTAGATTAATTTTCATTCTCAACCTGAAAAGTATCCTGAAAAAGAACAATTGGTGAGTATTTTATTCTCAAATATATTTGTATTTCTATATTTCAGAAATAAATAGTGAATACATTGAATATAGCAATTGAACATTGTAAAAAATATGAAAAAAATAAGAAAAATATATCAAACGAAAGATATAGCATCAATAGACAAGATTATGATATCGTTAATTTATTTTCATAATGATTTTGATAAGAATATTTGAATATTTACAAAAAAAAAAATGTTTACAATTTTTGAGACATAAACATCATTACGTAATACGTGACGAAGTAAAAAACATTTTCTTGATTCATCTATTCTTTTAATTTGCAATTTTACACGTGTTATTATTTTATATTTTATTATATCTTCTATTTTTATAGTAAAAGTTTTATCGATATATTCTTCTATTTTAAAATCAATTTTAATAAAAATTAATATTTTTGTTTTTTTCTTTAGGCAAGGATATATTTCTTTTTTCCCATCATCAATATATTTTTTATCATTCAGCCCACTCATAAAAATGGCGAATCACTTTCATAGTTACAAAACAAACAATTCTCAATTGTATTTGGAACGATGATAAAATATAATTAAATGAATAGAAGATTGAAAATTGAACGAGAAAATACTGAATGTTATGATTCAGGGAAATCAAAAATAAATGGGAATTTAATGCGTGAAATTAATTTAATATAAAAAATTCGATATAGGAACAAAACATGATAAAATGTCGTGTTAAGCGAGAATGGCTTTATGACGCATATATTGTCGAACATAATCTTTTAAAAATTTTATTAATATACAAATCTTTCAATCAATATATTACATTTTCTTAATTAGATTTTAATTAGATTTAGATAAATTTTTTAATTTTTCAGCAAATCTACTGGATTGAATAATTCGTTTATTTCTGTACAATATATTCTTTAAACTGTATACTTAATATTAATAATAATTTAAGATAATAAATATCCTCGATAATTCCAGATATCTAAGTCTTACCTCTATTTAACAGTTTATCGATGATTAATTCTATTATTTGTCTCAAAATATATTCCTTCAGCTTTATTCTCTTTTTTTTAACATAATTTTTTCTTATATAAGTAACAAGTAGTTCTTCGAGTTAAATTTGAATAAATTCAATTCAAAATTTGTATACAGCGAATAAGCGAATGAAAAATATTTATTCCAAGTGCTTATTTTAAATTATCAGTAAGAATCAAATTGATTCTTCTTTATATTTTTTTATTCTACTTTTGATTTGAAGGAATAACGTGTTTAATTTTTTTCGTTCAATTATTTTTAGTCTATTTTTAAAAATTTTCTAAAAATCTTCCATCACATCGATACTCGTCCATTGCAATATTGGGGTGCCTTTTTTTTTTTTACGTTTTTTTTATGCTTTTTAATTATTCGACAATTTTTTTTAATATCTGCCCAAATATTTTTACACGATATAATATATCCTTATTATATATCCTTATAATATCCTTTATATTCGATTTTTAAATTTTTTTAAAATTCGTGTTTCAAATTGTTTGTACGTCAAATCAAATTTCGAACATCAACTGTACTCTTTTTTGTTTTTCTTTAAAATTAAATAAAATATTAATAAATTATAAATATTATATAAATATAATTATATTATATTTATTACATTTATTATATTATATTTATTTATTATATTTATTATATTAAATATAAATTATATAAATATAAATTATAAATATTAATAAATTATTAATAAATTAAAATTTTAAATTTTATTATCTATTTTTTAAGTTTAAACTTCAAATGTGATATTGTTAAGTGTATATATGCATTATTTATTTATTATCATATCTATTCATAATAATTTCACGAATATTTAATTTTTTGTAGAAATCAAATTTCGAACGAAAATATTTTATTCGAACGTGTCGTGATATAGTTATTTATATTTATTATTTTTATATTATAATTATTTATATTTATAGTTATTTACATATAGTTCATTAAAAAATTACATAAGTTGCAGATTAATATATAATAATTAATAATATTAACTGAATAATCAAATCTGTTTCGAATTCGTATCGAATAAATTTCCAATTAATATTAAATTACGTCTGTTTGTTTCCTCGTGAACTTGTGAAATAAATTTGTATTTCGAGATAAACATTTCTCTTAAAAATACAAACTTAAAAATTGTAAATATTTAAAATAAAAATTTTTTGAAAAGAGGGGGAAAAATAGAGCTATACGTCACCATTATTTTTACCTCTATTTCACTTCATTATACTTATATTACTTGTAAATAGATTAGGATGCTTATGTATTCATACAAAATTTAAATGTACATAAATCCACAGAATATTTATATGAAATGCAAAAAAGGATAAAACACGTAAAAGTGGAAGCAAAAATATAGACAATCTCAGTGCTAATCTAACTACGAGCTTAAAAATGAGTATGCCAATAGTAACCGTGAAACAAGGCAAATTAAAAGGGGCGATGGTACGGAATATCTTAGGATCATCGTCGTACTACGCTTTCAGAGGAATACCGTTCGCAACACCTCCTGTTGGAGAACTCAGATTTAAAGTGAGCACGTAATAATATATATACTTCCACCATTTTATTTATTTATTTTTAAACTCTCTCATTCATATCTTTGAGCTCTTTTTCTTTCTTTTCTTTTAAAATATCAACGATATACAAGCAAATTTTTTTCCTTTTTAACAAATACATTTTATTAATACGAAAGAAATTTCAACTCGATATTGATATCGGTTATCGATCTAATTTTTGATTCTTTTTTTTTTTCTCCAAAAAATGATAATTAAAATACCATGACGTATGTAAAGAGACGAAAATTCGAATCTAACGATCTATAATTAGTGGTGGAATAATTAACGCGATGCTCTTATTATTATTATCTTCCATCTAATTTCTTAAAAATTAAATTTAAGGATCCGCAACCGGCCGAGCCATGGACAGGTATCAAAGATGTCTCCAAAAACGTTGAATATTACTGCATGCAGCGCCAACGATTTATACCGTATCAAATCATTGGCAGCGAGGATTGTCTTTACCTGAACGTCTACACCAATTCTCTTGATCAATTGAAACCGGTTATGTTCTATATTCACGAGGGTGCGTTTATATGCGGTACTTCGAGTTTCCAGGAAATGAGGCCCGATTACCTGCTCCCGAGAAACGTGGTGGTCGTCTCGAGTAACTACAGAGTCGGTGCATTCGGTTAGTTCGCCTTGTCGATTCGATTTAAAAAGCGAGGGGGAAGGAACAAGGGTGGAAACGATATTTTTAACGCCTGGATCTTTTTCTTTTTTTTTTTTTTTCGATTGGAAAACAGGATTTCTAAATCTGGGCCACCGAGTCGCGGCCGGGAATTACGGCCTCAAGGATCTGATCTTGGCTTTGGAATGGGTGAAGGAAAATATCTCCAACTTTGGGGGGGATCCTAACAACGTGACGATTTTCGGCGTAAGCGCAGGATCGGTTTTGGTTCACGCCTTGCTTTTGTCGCCACGCGCGGAAGGTAACGCTCGGCTTTTTGATTTTTTCGATTCTCGGCAGATCTCGAAAACGACGACGTTTTTTCGTTTTGCCGAAAAAAAAAAACGTCGAATATTTAATAAAAAAAAGAAAAATTTCTTCAGGATTGTTGCACAAAGCGATCATGCAGAGCGGTGTGCTTTGGAGTTCTTGGTGCAAGAGTCAGAATTATTCTGTTCGTGGATTCAGATTAGCCGCCCTCCTCGGTGAAACATCGAAAAATCCCGAGGAGGTGGTCGAATTTCTGCGAAAAGTGCCAGCCGAGGATATCGTGAAAATTCAATCTAATATAGTGACGATAGAGGTAAGGAATTTTTCCATCTATTTCACCATTAAGAATAATTTTCGAGCAATCGAAACATGAATGGAATATCCCCGTTGATAGGAAAAATTCTCCTTCGAGATTCCTTTCGGGGTGAGTTACGACGAGATAGCAGACGATCCCGTTATGCCAAAATCTATCGATGAATTACTGAGGACAAGAGGAAGTAATATCCCCGTAATAATCTGTTACACGGCTGACGAATGCATATCATACGTAAAAGGTAAATTTCGTAACAATTTTTTCGCGGTTGGGCATCGATCTGATTTATCTAATCTTATTTTCCTCTCCCCAGATAAGTCGAGGGAGACGATTGAAACGTTGAACGAATATATGCCCAAGTACGTGAGAAGTTTGAAATCGTTGAAGAAATTAAATGAGGAAGATTTTGAACGAATTTACGATACGATAAACAATCGATTCTTTGAAGGGAAACCGATTAATGAAAAAAAAATCCGCAAAGCAATCGAGGCATTGACTCATATATATTTCGAACTTCCTATTATCGTGATGATAGAAGATCTAGTGAAGAGGACAACCGTGTCTAATTACGTTTGTAGATTCTCGTACGTTGGAAATGAGGAATCGGCCATTGATTTTATACAAAAACGTCAAGTTTCTGGTAAGAATACAATTTTTAAAATTCATTATCCCTTTATTCTTAGAGTGAATAGTCTACTAATAGAATATGTACAATGTACGAGATGATCCTAGAAGAAATTCTATCGATGAAGCTTAACACGGTTACGATTTTTCACGTTGATTTCAAACAATTTCGAGAAAATTTTCGATCTTGTTAACGAATTATTAGTGAAAAATATTGACCAATCGCAGAACATGTACGTTTATCGCGTGAGAATCGATCGGTAGCGTTGGGTACGAGTCGTTGGATTTGAACGAACAAAACAATCAGTGTATCTTTTCTTCTTCTTCTTCTTCTTTTTTTTAATTATCCTTATTTTTTTTTTTTTTATTACCTTCTATAAGATTATTACTCATATTGTACAAATTAACACTTGTTAATACATATTCGTTCACATTTATATGTATTTTTATATGTATTTTTTATATTTATATATTATTTACATTTAACAGGAGCAGCTCATACGGATGACGCGCCATATTTGATATATTCACCGAAATATAAAGTTTATGAGCCTAATCCACCAGTAATCGGTACAAAAGACAGAATAACAATGGAACGAATGACTAGAATGTGGACTAATTTCGCAAAAACGGGGTAAATTTTATTATTTTTTTTTTCTATATAATAAATATAGAAACATAAAATATTATTTTTATTATCTTACATCATTACGTATATCCAATCCAGGAATCCTACCTCGGTTAAAGATGAATTTGTTAACATTGATTGGAGGCCCGCAACAATGGACGACCTCTGTTTTTTGGATATTAATAATGAATTAAAGATGCATCCCATTTTACCACACATTTTATCCTCTTCATAAGTTTTATTTTGTAATTTTATTTTATTTGTTTTTTTTTTGTAATTATAAATATAATTATAATTATAAATTGTATAAAATATACGAATAAAATTAAATGTCAAATGTGATAACATGATAATAATGTTTGTCAAATTTTTATTTCCTTTTCCTTATCCGTGCCATATTTATATGCAGAAAATATAGTAAATTATTCAATTCTTTTTTTTTTTTTTGATTGTAAACATCACGTTGTAGAATTTTAGAATATTTTAACGCAAGTCAAGAGACGGAAACGAATCCTGGAAAAATATAAAATACGAGTAAAGAATTTTTAAAGCGAAAAAGTTTTCTCGAATCTCGATCGATTCCATTTCGAAACAAAACTTGTTCACTTTTAAAAGTAGAGTTTTCAAATTCAGTCCCATTCAGATCTGTTTTATCTCTTTCTCTCAAAATACTTAAAAGATTCAAATATAAGTTCAAATCTACTTGTCATGCACTCGAACCTATCACTAACTTTTATCACTTTTAATAATTGCAGCCTCAAATTTTCGTTCCTCTACTCTTTTGATCTTTGAAGTATTTCAAGATTTAAGAATCTGATTTGACTCACATTTTCTCTTAAAAAAACATTGCCACGATACGCGGTTTCAAAGAATGCTTTTATCTCTTTCTAATTTACTAAAACACTTTTAATTATGAAAATGTTGTCCAAATTCTTCGCTTATCTTCTATCAAAAAGAAAAAAAAAAAAAAGAAAGAAACAATGTATACATAACTCATATCTCAATTATGAAGCCATTAATAATCAAATGGATAAGAGATAAACAACCGGTAATAAAATTTTTATGAATGAAACTCACGATTATGGAATATTATAGCTATTGCTGAATTGTTGTCAATGGAATACTATTTTCATATTTCATCATATGTATACGAAACGTGCAATTGCTCAGAGATAATCATTTGACAATTTGTTTTTCATATTCGATAATATTTTGATTTTATAGATTCTTAAGTAATCGTCAAGGGTCAAAATTGCGTAAACACGTAAACCGGACTTCCGCTGATAAGCCGATTACAGAATAATATCGTGAAAAATTCTGTAATCGACATAAATTATGATTACTTATTGTTAATCATCCTCCTCCCCCTCTCTATTTCGAGAAGAGACACGATCTTGACATCGATGTAGATTTCGATTCCCTTCTCTTTCTTTCTTCCATTTTTTTTTTTTTTTTTTTTTTTTTTTTTTTAGATTCGGCAAAATACAAAGGGAACTCGAAGGTCGTCCAACGACTGATTAACATCAGCTCACTATTACATAACTTATTATATCAAAAAATTATTATCAAAAAATTAGAATCGTTCATTCATAATTTTTTTTTATTTTGATAAAATTTGAAAGTTTGGACGGAGTTTAAATTTTAATAATTGACCACGTATTTCTCGCGTGCAGATTAAAAATTTGTATATTATGTAAATACTTAATATCTTGTTATTTTTTTTTTTTTTTTTTTTTTTTTTTACTACAACTCCCATACAATTCGTAGATAATTTTATCGATGTGAATTTAATTGAAAACGGAGTGTCAAATTTAAAGTTACAATTTTTGAAAGAAAATTCACGACAATAAATGATTCAAAGGAAATATTAAAGGAAATATTGGGCAAAATAATTCAAAAATAAGAGAGAAAGAAACAACGTATAGGGAGCGTATGTATCGAAAAGATTAATGTAATGTATCGATAAGATTGTAATTAAAGGAAAGGAAATTCAAATTATTAATATGCGTGTGTATCTATAGTTGTTAATAAAAAAATAAATTAATAAAAATAATGATAGTTAATAGGAATTATTATCAAATAACATCATTCAAGTTTTTAAATTTTATATTTTAAAAAGTTTTTAAAAAACACTAGAGAAAGAGAAAAAAATACGATACGATCATTGTCACGATCATTGTCATCATTGAATACGTAAATGATACGTACATATAATAATTTTTCTCTATGATCAAACATTCTATGATCTCCCTCTATTTCTATGCAATTATCCGTCTAAATAAAATCCTAATTAATTAATGTTATTTCTGTATCTTTTATCATTTAGCAATAAAAACATTGCTGCACGTTTCTTATTACTGTTGTACAAATTCCAATTTCGAATTTAATTAATTTTTAAAAATTTAAATCAATTATTAATACAACTATTATTAATCTCATTAGAAATGAAATTAATTATTTATAGAAATGGAATTGTATATAGCGAAAACAACATGACAAGATAAATTATTTTAATATGATAAACATTAATTGGAGCATTAAACGTTTCACTGATTATATAAAATTATTTGTATATTGTTTGCAGAAAGAATAATAACGCATTATCCTTTATTGCATTTAAATATAGACGTTTAAAATAACTTTCCCATTTCAATTTTAATACACGACACATGATACGCGATTAAAATAAATTACAAGAAATGATGTAGTTCAGGAATTTTTTTTTTTTTATAAGTGTATTTTTCGCGATAGGTGTCAATAGAAAAATAGGGAAAAATTTCATTCAAAATCCTAAGAATAGTTTCAAAAGCCTGATGTATAAATCTTTTTTGAAAGTGGAGGAGAAGTTTCATAGATTGAAAAGTTTTTCAAATAGAATACTTTCTTCCTTTTTTTTTTTTTTTTATAAACGAATCGATGTATTTTCTCGAGAAAATATTATTCTCGATCGAAAATTTTGATTTCATTTAAATTACAAAAGCTGTTCATATTTTTTTTTGCTTGCAGTTTTGATTTCTTCAAAAAAAAAAAAAAAAATCGTAAACTTCCATAAATTGATTTTAAAATTTTTTAAAGTTCTGTTCCAATAATATTAATTCAGAACGCTTTCTAATTGGATTAATGCGAGTAAAAAAAAATCTATTTATTTTTCTAAAATTATTTACGATTTATGAGATCGTAAATCAAAATATTTTGCATTGTTGCAGGATATTAAATCGACGATAGCGAAATGTGTCGATGCCAGTTTCGTCGATCAGTTGTTAAACGAGTCATGATCTTTAACCTTAGGAGAAATTAACATGATTAATTATGATTCATCTATCCTATAAGTACTCAGTTGGACAAAGATTTTTCATCCAGTCGTTAGGTTTTAGTAGTGCGGTACGTAACTCTAAACAATCTAAAAATCTGAAATTTCTCCACGATTTAAAAATCCAACGATTTAAAAATCTACTCGATAATGAGCCAGCCAATTGTGACCGTGAAGCAAGGTAAATTGAAGGGAGGAATAGTGAAAAATGTTTTAGGAGGAAAATATATCGCGTTCAGGGGGATACCGTATGCTGTTCCACCCATTGGAAAACTCAGATTTAAGGTATTGTATCATTTATTTTTGTATTTGTAATTGACATTACTTGAAAAATTAAGAAATTTAAGTTTGAAAGGGACTTTTAAATTTTTTTGAAATTTTCAAATTTAAATTTTTTAATTTTCTAATCGTGCCATTAAATCGTCAAGATCGTTTCAAAATTGGCTACGAATATATAATGTAAAAATTATGCTTGTGAAACTTTACTTTTAATGAAAAATATGAGTGGTAAATGATATTTTTCCTTTATTTATATCGATAAATATTGTAAATTTTAAGTTGTCAATCTAGCAAATATTAACCACTTTTTTTTCTTTTTTTATAATTTTCTTTCTTTTTTGATAAAATTCTCTCCGTAAAAAATTCTTTTTTCGCTTTCAATGGACGAGATTTATAATATAAATTTGTCGCGAAATAAATAAATTATGAAATTTCCTTTTTTAATTTAAACGATAAGACATAGTAAAACGCAAGATAATCGCGAAATAAAGATTATTAATAATTGTCACAGATCGATAATTTATCTCTCTTCACTGTTTCTCTCGCTTCAATTTTTCTTATTTATTCATTTCGAAATTAAATTCTGGCATATAAACTATATCATTTGAAATTTATTTTTTGAATTTCATTTGAATTATTTTTTCTGTCCTTAATAGGATGAATAAATTAGATTGTTTCTATTATATTTACTTTTTACCTATTTACCTATCGATTTCCAAGCTTGGTTCAATCCAGGCCATTAGAAAATTAGCGAAATATCGACAACATCGAAAATCTTTCCTCACGATTGCACGAGGATGCGATCATTATTTACTGCTCCGTTTCCAATTAAAGTTTTTAACTTTGTGAAACAACACAGGACCCGATACCGATTGGACCGTGGACCGACGTTAAGGACACCACGAAACCCACTCAATACTACTGCCCGCAAAAGCAGATCTACCCACCTTACCAAATCATCGGATCCGAGGATTGCCTTTACCTGAACGTCTACACCAATTCTCTCGATCAATCGAAACCGGTTATGTTCTATGTTCACGAGGGTGCATTCATATTTGGTAGTTCGAGTTTTCAGGACGTGAGGCCCGATTACTTGCTCCCGAAAGACGTGGTGGTCGTCTCGACTAACTACAGAGTCGGTGCATTCGGTTAGTTCGCCTTGTCGATTCGATTTAAAAAGCGAGGGGGGAGGAGCAAGGGTGGAAACGATATTTTTAACGCGTGGATCTTTTCCTTTTTTTTTTTTTTTTCGATTGGAAAACAGGATTCCTAAATCTGGGCCACCGAGTCGCGGCCGGGAATTACGGCCTCAAGGATCTGATCTTGGCTTTGGAATGGGTGAAGGAAAATATCTCCAACTTTGGGGGGGATCCTAACAACGTGACGATTTTCGGCGTAAGCGCAGGATCGGTTTTGGTTCACGCTTTGCTCTTGTCGCCACGCGCGAAAGGTAACTCTCGGCTCTTCGATTCTAAGAAAAAAAAAAAAAAAGAAATTATTCGAATATTTGATCAAAAAAATCCTTGTTTCAGGATTATTTCACAAAGCGATCGCGCAGAGCGGAATGCTTTCGAGCGCCTGGAGCAAGAATCAAAGTCAACCCGATCGTGGATTTAAATTGGCCGCTACTCTCGGAAAAGTATCCGACGATCCCGAGGAGGTGGTCGAATTTCTGCGAAAAGTGGCGGCCGAGGATATCGTGAAAGCTCAGCCTACTATCCTCACGTTGGAGGTAAGGAATTTTCCCTTTCGCCCATTTTCGCGATCACGATCGATTACTTTCGAAATATCTGAATCGAAATTTATCTCATTTATCCGATAGGAGAAATTCTCTTACGCTATTCCTTTTGGGATCAATTGCGACGAGATGGCGGAGAATCCCGTTATGCCAGAACCTATCGACCAATTGCTCACAAATCCAATCGCTAACGTACCCGTGATAATAAGTTACACGGCTCACGAGTACATCATGTTCCTAAGAGGTGAATTTTCACGAATCTTTCTCTCAAAAAATTTGCCTCAATTTTTCGATTATGTTATATTACATCCCCGCTTCCATATCTCAGGCAGAGGTCAAAATATATTAAACGTTTTGAACGAGTATCTGCCCACGTACGTGAACAGTTTGAGAGTGTTGAAGAAGTTGGATGACGAACAAATCGAGGAATTATACGAAATTTTGACCAATCAATACTTCGACGGGAAACCGATCAACGATAAGAAACTGCGAAAAGTGATCGATCTTCTCACTCTCATTTATTTCGAGCTACCCGCCATTATGACTATAGAGGATCGAGCGAAGAGATCGCTTTCCTCTACTTATCTGTGCAAATTCTCCTTCGTTGGCAACGAGATATCTCTTTCGGATCTGGTAGTGAAACGTCAAGTTTCTGGTAAGCAGCGAAATTCTTTAATCGTATTCTCCTTCTATGTATAATCATCCAACAATTTCCCAATAATTTTCCATTTCTCTCTTCTTTAACAAATCTTTAATCCTAATGTAAACGTGCACTTTTCCCAATTCTGTAACTCTGCTATTCCTTATTTAACTTTCTAATTTCTTCCAGTAATTAATTAAATAGACTATTGCTTATGTTATGTATTATTGGCGCGAACATGTCCATCCAAGATCAATTTCGAATTATATGTTTTATTTATCGCCAAAGTGCGACGAGAATAATCTTTCAGCGGTGTCAGTGGGGAGTCAGTTTGAATAAGAGAATATTCTAATAACGGAGTGCATGTTCCACTGTAATACCCTGTAATATTTATTCGCGTATTCCAGGAGCGTCTCACACCGACGACGCCCCATATTTGATATATTCACCGAGGTTGAAAAGTGACAATCCTGATCCACCGGCGGTCGGTACGAAAGACAGGATTACGATGGAACGAATGACCAGGATGTGGACTAATTTCGCTAAAACGGGGTAAATAATTTTTTTTCTTTTTTGTAAAATTATTTTTGCAAAGAGGAGATCGTCTTAACCGTTTATATCCTCGATCCAGGAATCCTACTTCGATCAAAGACGAGTTCGTCAACGTCGATTGGAAGCCTGTTACCACGAACGATCTCTCCTACTTGGATATTGGCAGCAAATTGGAAATCCTCCCTGTTTTACCGCATATTTTAAGGGACGAGATATTGAGCACGAATAAAAATCGAATAGTAAAGGAAAAAAGGCGAATCATGCCGTCTATTTTCTTTAACAAGGAAGAAGGGAACAGACGGTGGCTCTGGTGAATCAAATAGAAATTAGTTTCGTTAGGGATTATCTTCGATTTTTCTTCATTCCATTCTCGTACATTTTTATTAAAATTATTTCTTCTCAAATTTTCACTTTTCATTGCGTGTAATCTGTGTATTGCCATTTCTCAAGCAGTTGATCCTGAATGAAAGCTTGAATGATTATTCAAGAATTTTGCTCAAAATTTTGCTCAAGAATTGACACAAGTGTCGTTTACCTATTTATATTATTTTTTTTAGTTTTTTTTTGTCAAGCTCTTATCCCTTTTATGTATTATTATTTTATGCAATTTTATGTACTTTATAATATACTATATTTATTAGATTTTTTCGAATTTTTTCGAATTGACACGATTAATTGATTCGAAACTTGCAATATCGAGCGATGTTTCACAATTTCTGTTTAATTCATATTTCTGAATCAATTAATTTAAAGCGAACCAGTTAACCAGTTTGTCAAAGTTAATTCGAAGCTCTTGCTCAAAGAATTATTTAACGATAGGTGATAATTATATGTTCATCGATCATCATCGATTATCGTCCATGATTATTAACCAAAATCAAGAGTTGTTATCAATGATAATCACTGATTGTCTTCTTATATAATCACTTATTATCTTCGATCATCGAAAAGAAGCTATGACTGTTATTTGTATTATAATTTAATTCCAAGATTTTAAAACAAGAGTATTTACAAATTATTTACAAATTAACGAATTTCTATTTCAATAAACTATATACTTTATTTCGTAAAGAATATAATTTTTATTTTTCCATCCCTTTGGATCTTGTTGGATCAACTTACTATTTGAAAAATCGTTTCTTTTGTGAAATATATACACGTATATTCCTCTTAAATTTTGAATGAAAAAAAAAAAAAAAAAAGAATTTCGAGGAATATTATATATTATCTGCGCGGAATTCGTAACCAAAGAAGTTTCTTTCTACTTTTAAAAATTCGCGTAAGGAAGGGAGAAACCACCTGCGAGTGACAACGAAACCGGAACTTCGAATCCTCCAAGTTTTAAAACTCGCAGAGTTCCGGTAATACCAATTGAAATACCTCGACGAAAATCCATTTGCAGTATATCATACGGCTCCTGGCATCACGTTAAAATTATCGATGCCACTGACTTGATTTATCGCACTTCAACTGTAACAGCCCTTGCTGAAACTTGTCTTTTGAATTTCGAGAAAGCTGATCTCTGAAAAGAGAAAAAGAGAGAGAGAGAGAGAGAGAGAGAGAGAGAGAGAGAGAGAAAGAGAAAGAAGAAAAAAAAATAAAAGGAAAAAAAAGAAAAGACGAAAGAGATAAATTCCACTGGAATAATTTCTTTTATAAACTCAATTTTCAAACATTCATCAACTTTCATCGTTTCGACATCACGTTAGGATTATTAATATTATTATTTTGATTCATTGCACCTTGATTATGATATATTTCTTATGAATTTCAGGAAGTTTAAAAAAGTGGAAAAGGGGGAAAAAGAGAAGACGAAACATTCAATTTTTCTTCTTACAGAGACTTTTCTCAAAAATATTATTTCACAAGATTTTTAAGATTTGTCGATATTATTGATTTGATACTTTAAGGATCACACAAAGAATTTTCTCTTTAAGAAAGGAAAAAAAAAGGAAAAGACGACAGTATCCCTCTCGGATAGTTTGCTCCTTCTTCAACCCTTTGTACTGAAACAATTTTCAAATACAAATTAAAAAAAAAAAAAAGAAAAGAAATAACTGGAGAGTAACCCCCGAAAGAAACTTTGTCAGGGACGAAAACAAGAGAAACCCGAAAGAATTCACTTAAACACCGTTCGTACAGCGTTAAACCTCCCTCGAAACGTTTATACGGAGGGGGGGAGGAAACTGTATTTATTCAGTTGGCGTTCGTAGAAGCGGTTCACGGCAGCTAAAAACTCTGCAAGAAAATAAACCACGAGAAAAACGAACAATACGTATCAAAAAAAAAAAAAAAAAAAAAAAAGAGGGAAAGCGGATAGTTAGTGCACGTATATGTCGATCTAATTTCATTCTGAAAAAGATCGGACACGATCCATTGGGGACATTGAAATTGTGGAACTGTCGAATTGTGGATCAATGGAACTGTTAACGATTACAGCTCGCGCGTATTAAAACTATGCAACTTCAATTATTGTATATCGATTTCGAAAAGTCGAACGATTGCTTGTCATTCGAGCGTTACATACGGTGTCAGTCAACGATTGTTATCTGGGTTATATGCAGCTTAACTTTTATATTGATATGCAACGTTGTTGTGTTTCGATGCGAGCATATTGACGTTCGATTTGTTGAGATTAATATCTATATATATATATGATCTTTTTCTTTTCGATTTTCCAGATCAGATTCGAGGCTATATTTTAATAGAATCTAGATAAAATTTTGATCATCCGAAGATGTACGTATGCACAAATTTTTAAAGAAATCTTAGAACATGTTGTTTTACTTTTGATGGAATTTTAATATCTCTCTTTTTACATACACCAAAATTATTCAAGCTGAGATGGATATAAGTTAAAATAAAATTTTTGAGTCATTGAGAATGATCATTTTATTTCTCTTTAAAGTAATCTCCAATGTCAATAAAGATTTATTGTACTCAATTACACGTACGCACATTATTTAAAAAAAATATTTGTCTTCGCGTAAAAATATACTTGATGAACTTCAAATATTCCATGCTATTACAAATTTATCAATACGTTAATATTTTATCTCTTCTTCACAAGTCAATCAAATATTTATCCCCTCTCGTTTTTCAAAACTTCATCTTTTTCAAATTGGGTAACGCAATCAATATGCCTCGAAACAAAGGAAATCTGAAAAAAAAAAAGAACCAATAAAAGATCCAATCTCAATCCAAACAATATCCTTTCATTTTTCAAAACTTAATATTCCTTCAAATTCAAAGATAAAGCACAACAAATCCGAAGACGTTCGATCGGATACATGACTCGAAAAAAGGAAAACATAAAAGAAGAAAAAAGTCCAGCCTTGAACAATATATTCCTTCCATTCTAGGAAAACTTAATCCATTCCCGGATTCAAAGTGTACAAGCACAACACAAATGCCACAAGAGCGTTTCAAACGAGAACGTAAACACGAGGACAAGAATATTTTCTCAAAGGAGATACGAAACGAGAGAGGAGAGGCAAGTCCGGTGAAAAAGATCAACACACTCTTCGAAGCAACGTTTCTTTTCGATTAGAGCAGAGAGCTGATACGCGGTGTCCCCCAAAGAATCCACAACCCATTCCTCGAACATACCTGAACTTCCTCTCTCAAAGGGTTTGCACACCACTGTCCTTCCCTCGGTTCCTTCCCCAGGAAATGGTGTTTTCACGAGGAGCGGCAAGACGCTGTATCGCGCGCGCACGATCATCCCTTTTCTCTCACCCCCTTCGGTCACCCTCCACGATCACTGACTGCAGCATAGTCCACACGCCGCTGCGACACACTGTAACGCGAGAGCGTTTCCCTCCGATCGTTAAAACGCGGAACGTCGATCCAGAGAGGCGAGAGGCAGACACTGAGAGAAAGGGTTGTCCGTTGGAGGAAAAACACCGGGGCGCAATTGCCCCCTCCACTATCTGTTCTCACCTGGTCGGGCGAAAGGAAAGGAATCGCGGAGGGACGAGTTGGCGATGAGGCGCTCGCCGAGGTGAACGCTCCTTCCTCGAGGACGAGACGAATTCGACTACTAACGGACGACGCCCGTGGAACGCGCACCACCCTCTCGAAAGCGCGGCGCGACGCGCGCGCAAACGCGCGGGAGTTACGCGACCAAATTCCGCGGAGGATCGGGGTTTGGGGTGGACGAAGGTAAGGAAGATGGAAAAAATTTGTTTGCGTTCATCGTTGATTAAGAGTAAGTGGCAATGGCTTGATTTCTTCTCTCATTCATTGATTTCTTATGCGATTCGAGTATGAGTAATAGATTTGTTTAGCTTAGGCTGGAAATGTTAGAATTTGGATTAAGAATTTTTTAGATCACTGAAAAGTGGGGATTAGAAGTGTAGTAGTAATGGGTAATTTGTTTTGTAATGTTCAAATTATTAAGGGAATTTGAGTAAATTGAAGTGGAAATATTAGAATTTGGATTAGAGAATTTTTTAGATCATTGAAAAGTGGGAATTAGGAGTGGTAATGGATAATTTATTTTTGTGATATTCAAATTGTTAAAGAAATTTAAGTAATGAATTTTGAAAGTGGAAATATTAGAATTTAGATTAATAATTTTTTAGATCACTGAAAACTGGTGCGAAAATTAGGAATGATAATGGATAATTTGTTTTTGTGATATTCAAATTGTTGAATATTTATATATAAAATTTGAGTAATGAATTTTGAAAGTGGAAATATTAGAATTTAGATTAATAATTTTTTAGATCACTGAAAACTGGTGTGGGAATTAGGAATGATAATGGATAATTTATTTTTGTGATATTCAAATTGTTAAAGAAATTTGAGTAATGAATTTTGAAAGTGGAAATATTAGAATTTTTTAGATCATTCAAAAGTGGAAATTAGGAATGGTAATGGATAATTTATTTTTGTGATATTCAAATTGTTAAAGAAATTTGAGTAATGAATTTTGAAAGTGGAAATATTAGAATTTAGATTAATAATTTTTTAGATCACTGAAAACTGGTGTGGAAATTAGGAATGATAATGGATAATTTGTTTTTGTGATATTCAAATTGTTAAGGGAATTTGAGTAGATTAGAGTGGAAATAGAACTTAGAATTTTTTAGAATTTTTTAGATCATTGAAAAATAGTGTGAAAATTAGGAATGGTAATGGATAATTTATTTTGTGATATTTAAGTTGTTAAGGAAATTTAAATAAGTTGGGATGGAAATATTAGAATTTGGTTTCGACTAAAATGCTAAAAAATCTGAATTCGAATGATTTTGAGGATGTTTTTTTTTTGAGAATATTGAGGATAGATCATTTTTTGACGAAAGTTAATTTCTTGATGCTTGAATTCTTGAAATCAGAATTTCAATGATAGATTTATTTTTAAGCATAGGGTTAGACTGGAATGTTTATGTATTCAAAAATTTAAATGTACAAAAATCTGCAAGAAAGTACATGACAAAATATTCATTTTGATATTTAAAGCATATTAAATCAATGTCTTTTTAAGTTCCTTTTCCATCATAATTATAATGATAAAAATATTTGCACGAACACAAAAGATATATAAAATGTTAATATCTCCTTCATTAATAATCAATTGAAATTTATGTTAAACGAGGTGGAGAGACACAACGAGATAGCTTTATCTCCATCACCTACAACTTTAATAAATAAAACTTAATTGGATATTTTTATATATATCAAACTTTTGTTCTAACTTTTAAGGATATAAAAATATTCCATGAATATATTAACACGTAACACGAAAGATCAAAGTTTTATTAAAAATAGGATACCTCAAGAGGGGGATTGCATACGAAATCGCAAGAAAACGAAGTCGAACGATGCACGCACATATCGAGCATAGTTTAACCAAACAGGAGTATATACGTCGTTCAACGAGGAAGAAGATAAAGTCTGAACCGTATCACGGATGAAATAAAACGAAATACAACTCGGTGTGGCACCGGTAATTTCTTAGAAAGAGATTGAAAGAGGGATGGGATTCTCTCTAGTTTTTTTTACATCCAATCGCGTGTACGAGTAGAAAAGATGATACGTGCCGGATGATATGAAATCTATTGGATGGAATAGGGTAGAGCAGGAGATGTGTACATCGCGGCGCAAACCGTGTAACCGTGATACAATGGAAAAGGACAGAGAGGAAGATATATTTTAGTGGCATGCGTTGTGCGAGAGGAAAGAGGAACGACCTTAGCACGCGCCACCGCTGCAAGTAAAATCCCACCACCAACAGCGTTTCCATCCTGTGAAAGAGAGGGAGCGAGGGGGGAGGAGGGGCGGGAATTTCTACGAAACTTCCCTCCTGATTCCCTTCATCCAAGGGGTTTCCTCCGACAGTGCTGTCGAAAACTGGGAAACGGGGCTTTGCGCAGTCTCCAGATCGAACATCGAGAGCACGGGGACCTCGAAAGCGTGGATGAAACGTTCCTCGGCCCTTCTACGTGGATGAAACGTTCCGACACGTGAGGACGTTTGACAGAACACGGTTGTCGATAAGATTTCTGACGATACATACGTGACTGCGGAAACTGTGGAGAGGAGAGTTTAGAAACGTGGCGATGAAAGTGGGATATGAAAGGCCGACGTAAATCATTCTTCGAGGGACGTTTCCTTGGGAAATGTAGATTCGTATCTTGAAGATCTGTGAAGAAGAGGTTTAATATTAGTATCGAGAATATTTTAGAGAGAGAGAGAGAGGATTTCGAAGATTCGAGAAGTATCGAAGGCGATTATTTGTATAAAAAAAGTTTGAAATGAAATTTCAGTGGTAAGAGAAAAAAATACGATCGATGAATATAATTTTTGAGACAAAGAATGTTTTCAGAGAAGAAAAATAAATAATTCATTGAAGAAACGAAAGAGTTAAAAGTAAATTATACGAGGAAAAGTAAGAATTTTATTAAATAAATTCAAATATTTATCGTTGACGGAAAATTCAAATTTCAAGACTGGGAATTTGAAAAATGTAAAATCTTAGGAAATGTTAATATTTTATTATAAGTATTGTGTAATTAAATAAATTAAAATATGAAAGCGAAACTCGAACATTTTGAGTTATGTACATTTGATTCTAGTAACTTTAACAGTCGTTGTTAATCGTTCCTTTAATTTAATAAATCACAATATTTATAAAGAGTTATAAAAATAAAATATAATAATTTAATAAAGAAATAGGAAAAATAAATAGTTAACAAAATTGAATTAATTGAAATTATTTATAATTTAATTTAATATTGAATAATATAAATGAAATAAAATTTTTACCATTTTTTCCCATTGAATCACATATTTTCCAAGCATTTCCAAGTATTATGTAGTGAGATCTTCGAAAGATATAATGCAATGCATAGAATGAAGAGAATAAATTGATATCATTTACGTGTTATAAGATAAACTTCTGTATAAAAAGTATAATTATGCATATGATATTCCTATATGAAATAGATCACGTAACAAGATCCTATATTATAATGCAATTTTATATGGAAAAAAAACTTTTTATTATGAAAAAGGATTAAAGAACGATAAAATTATAGAAAAAATAATATTGTAACATTTGTATGAACTATATAAATTTATATGATTTATTTTTCACAAGAAACAAATTTTTTTTATAAAATTCCATAATGAAATGAAAAAATATTTTCTTTGTTTGTTTGATTAAAAAATTTTGTTTCAAACATTATGTTGAGATAATGATATCATAAATGGCAATTCCATGCAATTCTATGATTCAGTCTTTACTTCGAATTTTCGATATCTTCGCTTATTACATTTCTAAAATTATTATTATATTCAGAATTTATCATTTAATCATTGTTATAAAATTTATGCGAGATATAAAATATATAACAAAAATGGCGGGTTAACTCTAATAAGTTTTAAATTAATATTCATAAAGCATTTTCATTTTATAGAAAATCACATTATACGTTTAATATCACATTTTAAAGTTATTCTTAAAGGTTAGTTATTCTAAAGGTCTTCTCTTTAAAGCCTACGCTTTTTTCTATTTTCTGATCATTAAAACGATTATTTACGCTCAACATAGTATTTCCTTTTACGTCATATTCGCGCCATATCGGTCTCGTTTTCCAAGTCTGTTTCTGTCTTTATCTTTCATGTACAACTTCATCCTCCATCTTTGTTTCAGTCACGGCTAACGTCAGGTCAGTATCGATAGAACATTTCACTGAATGTTCAGTATTGTACTGACTACGCGTTGGAGTGGACGTTTTCGTGTGTAATCAGTGAGATTTTTGTGGTAAGTTTGCTTTATTTGTTAATATAAGATTATTATTTATGTTTATTTAAGAAATTACGTATTAATTATTCGTACGTAACATAAAGAATAACGTGAATAAGTGTAGTAAAGACGAACGACGCAATTTGTGATTTCTCTATAGTCAAGGTCACTGGATTAAAATCGTAAACTCGATATCACCAACAATCTTAAATATTAAATATTTAAATTGTTAACAATTTATTTCAATTTAACTCGATTATTAATTCAATTAAATTAATCGAAAAATATATACATCGAATTATTACGAATACGTTTGAGGTTATGTCCAAAGATAGGTATGACGAATGATTTCGATCATGTAGAAAGTGTAAAACAAAGATGGACGAAGAAAAGAATATTTGCGCGGGCTTTTATTTAGCTTTGATGATATCATATAGAATAATTATTTAATTATAAGCTTTATATAGGGAAATTTTTCATTTATTAATTAGACAGTAATTAGTTCTCATTGTCAGATTTAAATTTGTCTTTTTTATTCGTTTTTATGATTCATATATTTGATCCATTTATTATTTTATTTCAAAAGTTCAAATTGTTATTTAATATGTCGATTATTTTATAAGTTCTTTTCTTTATTTAACATTCAGTGATTAGCAATCTTTTTTTATGTATTCTATACATTAATAATTAGTTATCTAGAATTATTTCGATTTAATATGCAATTATTCTTTATTATTATTATATATTATTATATTCTATTTTATATTACATCGTTTCTAAATTATTCTGAAACGTTGAATTATTTTATAAATATACAAATGTAATGCTTAATTATCTTCTAAGAAATGATAAATTTTTAAGAAATAATGAATATTCTCATTTTTATTCTAACGAAATATCGACTATAAAAATGAATATTTTTGTGTTACAGAAAATGTTTTCCACTTCAACACTGAGTGTCCTATTAGGGACAATTTTACTTATCTCTTCGATTCCGGATGCAGCATCTTTTAGCAGTATGTAAAATCAAATATTTTTTAGATTATTAAAAATTTATTTTTGAAAAATTTTTAGAAAAATTGTATTTTAAATTGACGTTATTATAAAATTTAATTAAAATTATATTATCGATTATTATTTGCGATATTGAGGTTAAATCGTAACGTTGTAATTCAATTGCTATGGCCAATCGTTTCGTTTGATGGGGATTAAGTGGACTTAATGGAAACAAATGATTATTTTTAATCTCCAACACGACTGATGCAATTATATTAACCTTCATCGTTATCGTCGACTTATCTCTTTTTCTTTTCTTAATCCAATAGAAGACTCTATTAAATTTTTATTAGAAAAAGAAAAAGAAACAGTGATAGGAATCAAAAGATTTAACACTTAATGTACATAATTTTCATTATTTGAGATTTTAAATAAATTATATTAGATTTTTAGATTGAAAATATTTATGAAAGAGAATTTCTATTTATTAAAGAATTTTTTTTTTTTATTGTAATGAAGATGTAGATATTTTATGTCTATCTTATATTAGAAATATACAATAATTTCCATTTATTATACGTATAATCATTCATTAATATCTTTACGTAACCAAGCAATTCTTGTTGGAGGCCATAAACAAGTACGGTTTCTAGATATATTCTCTTATTTTTGTGGCAAAGATATCTCATTAAATGTTTTTACCAGATGGATAATTCTTTTCATAAATTAAATAGCTTTGACGAGATCATATAGAATAATTATAAGCTTTTATATGGGGAAATTTTTCATTTATTAATTAGGCAATAAGAGGGTGAACAAATTTCCTCTCTCAAAGTTGAAGAACTTAGTTTCTTTTAAAAGAAAGCTAATTGTAAAAAGGAGTAATTGTAGAAATTGTTCTATAATTTTTTCCATAATTTTTCTGTGAAATTCTCTCTCTTTTCTGTGCCTAGTTAAATGAAATATAGTTCATAAAGTGTTGGTAGAAATATATATGAATGTTTAATAATTTTTTTAATAACTTCTATGTTGTTTTTAATTTGATTATCATAAACTTAAAGAGTATATATTTCTATACACTTCAATTCAATTCAAAAATCTTTAAAACATCATTTTAAATAAATTTGATATTTGATTACATATATAGTATAGTATAGTATAGTTTTAAATTTTTCATAAATTTTTTAATAAAATTGTAGTTTTTCTTTATGTATGATACATTGAATCAAATAATAGTTACTTAATTTTTTTCAATTTCCAAAAATAAATATTAGTAAATATAATTTATATCTATATTTGTGAATAGGAATGTAATATTGCAGTCCAGATTGCAATCTAATTGAAATTATATTACAATTACATTTTTTTATTCTATTTATATTATGTTTATTATAGTATCGTTACAAAAAAATAATTTTATTCATATATATTCATTCATTTATTTTGTTATTTATTATACATATACATAGATTACATTTCTTATTTTGATGAATCATAATTTAATCAGGATCATATAGAATATACATTAAACCAAATTGATATAATTAATTATCTGACCTTAATTGTTACTGTCCAACCGATATTCATGCAGAAATGTGACAATTATAACCGCATATATACATTTCATTTATACGGAAGATCGAAACATTATTCACTCTACCTTGATAGATTTTTCATAATTACAGTTGTTTGCGTTATCATATAATACCGTGCATTTTACAAAATTAAAGTTGTTTATGTTTATCATTCAATATGTTATCCATTTATTGAAATGAAATTTAAATTTGCAAAAAAATATATACAACATGTTACATATTTAAATAAAAGAAGTTAATTTTTTGATTTTAATCTTGTGATAATAGAAAAAATGATATTATAATTATATTAAAAGATTAGATTAGATATAATACGAAAAATAATACAATTCATTTTAGATTACATTCGATCCTTAAGTAACATAAAAATTGCAATAATTTTATAACCATTACAAAATTTGTCTGACAATCTCAAAATCTGAGAATCTCAAAAGTGTTAGAATATAAAAATTCAAGAATTGGATTACCATCCATATCCATAATCTACTTATGACAAAAAAAAAAAAGAAAGTCACGTATCAATAGAGAATCATTCCGAGTTTATGGACATAATACTCTCATTCTTTCTAATATTACGATTCTTTCCTTCATCCGTTCCATTTGTTCCTTGATAAACGTTTAAGAACAATTAGAGAAAGGATCATTAGCCTAGTTTTAATATTCTCTTTCTATCTTTCGCGCGCACCTTTTATTCCATTTCTTTCTCAACACGTAGGATAAGGGATAACACGAAGCTTGGGCGTTAACTTTGCAGAGGGTTCGCTTTCTCTCCCTCTCCCTCTCTCTCTCTCTCTCTCTCTCTCTCTCTCTCTCTCTCTCTCTCTCTCTCTCTCTCTCCTTTCCCCTTCCTCTCTCTCTCTCCCCTCTCTTTCACTCCTCTTTCCGGTTGTCCTCCTTCTCTCTCAGCCGGATAATTGAGAATCGATGGGGTTATATGGGGATGACGGTGTGGTGCTTGAATAGAATTACGATTAGCAGCGTCGATGCCGGGCCTCGGTTGGATAACGTCTGGTAAATGCGCGCTCGAACTTGTATTTTTAACCGGAGCAAACTTTCGATGGTGTATTTCCAGATATGGTGTTTCGAGAAATAAGAAAATGCGAGACGCGAAATAAAATAAGAGATTTGTATTATGATACTCTTGCGCTATGATATTAGGTTAGATCAGGTTAGGTTAGGTTAGGTTAGGATAGGCGAACATCTGGTAAACAGGCGTTGCACGTTGGAAATTGTTTTTCATTAGAAGAAACATCCGTTTCTCGATGGTGTTTTCTGGAATAATAAAATACGAGATTATTGTTGACGTGAAATAAAACAAGAAATATGCGGCATTGTAATATTAGGTTAGGTTAATGCACGTATTTTTTAAAATATGAAAATGTTAGACGTTATTGTTGATGTGGAATAAAATAAGGAAAGATGTGTACCTTTTTTAGTGAATAATATTAGATGGAATTGTATGAAATTACAGATCTGTTGAACTTTGTTTCCATTTTTGTGCTTTATTTCTTTCAATTTTGTAAACAAATTATAAGGGAAAAAAGAACGTGGATTTAGATTAAATATAAGAATAGCACATAAATGCATCAGATAAACAGATTTTAATTTATTTATCAATAAAATGTATCAGTTGATATCCTGTTGGGAAAAAATATATTTGTGCTAATGTTTGGTTAATTTCTATATTGATACTCACATATATGGTTTTTTTATTTCAAATAAAATTTCAATTTTTTTTTTTTTTTTTAGTAAATAATTTTTAAATCAAGTTTGGGTATTAAATTAAGGATTAAACGCATAATATTTAAGATGATAATATTAATAAAAAGAGATATTCTACATTTCTAAATTGTTTAGATAATAAATTGAAAGTGTAATATGTACATTAATCCCGTTCAAATATATCGGCACAGGTGAATTAGGAAGACTAAGTATAGGTATTTGCTTACACTTTAGTTATTAAACAAGTAGGTTTAGTTACTCAGTTGTTCAGTTTCTGTTTGAAGTTTTAGAGAAACTTGATATATGAGGAATATTGAGTTAAAGTTACTTAAACATAAATATATTTATTCTTTTACAAATAATTTTGTAATTGACCGTATAAATGTTAATCTCTAAAACAAATTTTTACAACTCACTTATATCAGATATTCAAAGAATGATTATATATTTGTTCCAAGCAAAATTTTTTCCAAGTAATTTCTTTTAAAAAAACTATAAATTCTCCAAGAAAAGAATTCTTCTCCTTCTGGTATACTTCAAATGTTAAAATTATAATGCAATGCGAGGAAATATTATACTCTTTGAAACGAAATTCTAAATTTCTTCGCCAAAGTTTTACGTAATCCAAAAAATACAAGTTAGAAAAGTTTGAACATATTGTGCCAGCATGTATCCCGGCATAAAACCACGATAATGTTAATATTTAACGATGGTAGTAGTTTCCAGTGGAGTGAGCATCGTTTACGTGGATCGTTCGCACGAGAAATTGAAGCATCGAAAACGACCCATTTGATCGAGGAGCATCAGTAGCTCTGACATATAAATTTCATTTATGAGGCGTCCCTTTCTCGGGGAGAACTTTTAATGAACCATATCCAATCGCGAGATCATGCCCTATTACTCGAACTTTCCCCACTAAACGTGGAAAAAAAAAAAAGAAAAAAAAAGAAACTCCGGCTAAAGTGTTACTTTCTGGTCCACAGAATACGGGAGGACGTGCAAGGACATCGGTTGCATGAGGGATGAGGTCTGCGTGATGGCCGAGGATCCTTGTTCGATCTATCAACGAGATAACTGCGGTCGTTATCCGACTTGTAAGAAATCTCGTCCAGGCGGTAAGAACGTTCACCCTTTTCGTAAATATTGATTCTCAAATATGTGCGTAATGTAGCTCGAGGAGGAAGAAACAAAAGCGCGTTTTCGATCCATAAATTAATAACTTCATTGTTCTTCGATCGATCACGTGTTCATTAAATTTTAATCTATTGTGCGTAAATTGCCGACAACGGTTGCATACAAATTTGCTCCCTTTATGATTGATAATAGTAATAAATAGCAAACTTTAATGAACGCGGAATGAATTACTCGTGTTTACATATGAAGTAATTATCGTGAAATAATGTGGATAATTATCAGAGAATTTACGATAATTATTTTATTTGGAACTTACTGTACAGTTCGAATTTAAAAAAAAAAAAAATTGGGAAAAAATTATAAATTTGTTTAACTTTTAAATTCACTAACGTGATACATTGAAATTTTTGTACACCAGGATTGAAAAGACAAGTATCTTTTTATTTGCAGAAGCTAATTGTGCCAGCACTCTGTGCGGTGAAAATGAATACTGCAAAACCGAGAATGGTGTCCCGACATGTGTGAAGAAATCAGTAGTAAATGGTGAGTGTTTAAATTCCTCTGTCTTTTATTTGTATTGATTATGCTTGAATGCTGCTTAATTAGTATGAAGCAGCATATGAAAATCTAAATGCATGAAGCATGAAATAGAATATATGAAAATGAATACAATTGAGAGAGGAATACAATATTGTTTTGAATTCTCATATATGATTCGAATTATTAATATAAAATTTTATTTAAAATTTTATTAAATAGTTTAGAAAATGTGTATCTTTATGTTTTTTTTGCATGATATAATTAAAAGGAATATTAAGATATTTTTAATATTTTAAAGTTGAATAGATGAGAAATAAAGAGGTTCTATAATTTATAAAAATTAAAAAATGTGAACTATCAAGTTTTTTTTCTTAATATATTCATGGAATATTATATAAAGTACAAAATTAGTTAACCCAATTAAGAATAACCATTTTTTTTTCTCATGTTGAAGTTAAAAATTTTTAACAATTTAATCAATTTGATTCTTGATTGATGTATTAAAAATTTGAAATTTATTTCAAAATTAGAAAAAACTCATTTAACATTTGTTAATGGAATTCTGAACTATTGTAATCCTTTCTCAATCGTGGCAAGAACAAAACTTTATGCTTAGCTTTATACTTTCTTGTTCTATATTATTATGATTTTATGTTTTTATAAAATTATTTTTGCAATGGATTTATACATATCTTTTTATTACAATTTTTAATTTAATTTATATATTTATCTTCGAATAATCTATGTTTGGCAGTTTCATTTCTTTGATTTCATACGTGCACTAGACGTGATTTACGCGGAAATAACACGTTCTTTATTGATGCAATCTATGAAATCGTTTCGAGTGGAAATTACAATGACACGTCGACACGTGTGCGCTTCATTAAAACTTCCGGTGTACTTGGACTTGAACACGTTTCATATGAATCGCGATTTATTTTTTCATTTATCTGATCGTATAAATCTAATCTGATTAATAAAAATATTTTTTTATTTCTTATTATATCTTTTATTATTAAAGGTATTTTTAACAATTTGCTAAAAATATTTCATATTTAGATAGGATCTATTAAATTTTAATAAAATTTGTTTTTCATATTTATCATTAAATGTGATCACAAATCTTTTGCAACAGATTTATCTTTTCATTTTATTTAATTACAAAATTTTTCTTAGGAATTATTTTATATCATCGTATAGTAAATTTATATATATATATTTTTGATGAATCGAATGATGATCGTGTAATAAATTCTTTTTGCAACTGCAAATAAGATTTTCAAATAAAAAAAAAAAAAATAAAATCTCGAAATACATTAATGAGTGTAAAATGATGTATAACATGAGGTCGTGAACTTGTATCTTGAATTTTTTTCCTCTTCTCAACTTTTTCGAACACGATCTTTCCATTATCGTCTCTTTCTACACAAATGTGTGGATGCGCGTATATATTCACACGAGGTTATAAGATTTCGAAAGAAATTGCTCTCGAATTTAGATATAAACCACTCGAGTATAAAATTTTAGCCCTGTCGATAAAAAGGAAAAAAATTTATCAATCTAGTTACAAATGAAATTTACTAGAAATGTGTGCTTCATATTACGTTACGTTAAAATTCTCTCATTTTATAAAATCGTATATCACAAAGTAATATCTTAAATTAATTTTACAATTACGTTTACTATAAATATCAATAAATAATGTTAAAAATATTGATTAAATAAAAAATATTTCGCTACATTTTCCACGATATTTTCATCGTAGGATAACTATAAAGCATGCAGCATTGATGTTCACTTTTAACGCTTTCCAATTATTTTCGCATATCTAACACAGGATGAAAATAACGTAGCACAGTTTTTAGAATCCTCGTAGCACCTTTGTTCGACTAACTTCATTAAAACCAGTTATTGTAAAAGGAAAAAAAAAAAAAAAAAAA